CAAGATAACACACCCCCTGGACCGATTTTCAAAGCTCGATTACTCCACGACGAAGAGGATGCATAAACGAAACAAAACATTTTCGAAAACCTCTCGACGAGACGGTTCCAACGCCGCCGTTTTCGGCGCTGTGACTCTTCCTGCTGTTGAGAAATCGAGCTTTGAAAATCGGCCCAGGGGGTGTGTTATCTTGTGTCATATACGGTATTGGCCTCGCATCCCTACAAAGCCGGGACGGAGCACGTCGGGTTCTCACCGGACCAGGCTCTCACATCACCAAGCGCGAAGCACCGTGAGATATTCGGCGAGTCGCATGAAGGATGGGCTGCAATCAGGGGGGGGGTGCTTCTCTCCGCCTCTTGTTTACACCAAAGAGGCGTGTATGACTGGGACGAACACATGCATACACGAAAGGGAAAATGGACAAAAGTGGGTATACCCACGCCATTCTCGGACAAAAGTGGGTACTCGAACATCCAGCTCGCGCGCACTCCAAAGGCGACCCCCAAACGCCTCAAAACCCCAATCTGACACCTGGGCAACGTGGCCAGGGACCATACACAGCGCGGGCATCGAATTTTTCCCACTCTCAGGCACACCATTGGCCCGAATGCCGCCGCTACGCGCAAGGCCTCACCAGAGTGCCCACGTCTGTCCGACATCGTGGCGGGTATACCCTGCGGCGTCTACTATTGTTTTCATGTGGCCACTCATCTCTATTTGTTTACCCCTTTTTGTCCAAGTTGTACCCACTTGTGCCCACTTACGGACAGCGGAAATCGAGCGGAAATCGACCTCCACGTCACCGCACGGCAGAACATCGAAAAGCCTCGGAACGTCTCAGAACCTCCCAACACCGCATCCATGGCATCTTTCATATCCATGGCTGCCGACTGCGGACTGACCGCGGAGGAACATGTCAGAAACATGCCAGGCCCCTTCCGTACCGGCACGGGAAGATACCCGCGGCTAGCCCGGCAAGCAGCGCGCTAGCGGCACGCTTGCAGTCGAATTCGTTTTGGAGTGTTTTCACCATCATCCTCCTTTCTTTCACTACCATCATTCTCATAATCGTTTTGACAGTAATTTTTCGAAAGTTCTTTTCTGGCCCTGCGTCGTTTGTGGCGGGGAAGGTCATCCGGCTCGAAGCTCTTGCTCTCTTCCACGCCATGATGCCCTCCGCGACTGCTGTTTTGGTCTCTGTCTTTTCCTCCTCCCGTCCCCTCTCTTGCTCCTTCATCGCTGCCAAACGAATTCCCCTCATTGCCTTCCTGGTCGTTTCTATCTGCACTACTACCGAGATCCCAACCTGTTGGTTGGGGTAGGGATTGATCCATCAGTAGTCCATGACGTTTGAAAACATCACGAGTTCGAATGGATAGAAAACGAACCAGCTCGAAGGTAAACCGTCTCCGAATCCTGCTGGTATGAAAAACCTTTAGGCGAAGCAAGGCTGTTTCGTCATCGAAATTATCCTTGCAGAAGGGTTTCTATGCCAAATGGTTGGCGATGGCTGCGGTAAGCCGATTTGTGCCTTTGCCAGACCACCATACGTTGAAAAAGCAGTAGTAAGGAGGGTAGATCCAGACGGGTCGAAAGATCCCGCATTGTGATTTGCCTCACTTGCAGCTCGATCTTCGAGGGCGGATCCTGGCTTTCGGGTCGACTTGTCGATGCTCCGACCTGCGGATGGTTTGACGATTGTGACATCCACAAGAATGGACTTGGTGCAGAGTTTCTCTTCTTTATCTCCTGCGTTGAATCCTGAGGGGATCACCGAATCCATCTTGTAGATAGACCCCCTTTCCCCTACAAGTGCTTGTAGTAAAAGGGGAAGAGTCTTCGACGGCGATAGGCATGTGGCATTCGGGTAACGTCTTCAACGTCACACGAACCATCCTGTTGTGCAGGAAGGTTGAGGCACCGGTCCTCGCGCAGACCAGGGAGTGGTGGTGTCTGGTCAGCCGTTACTTGTACGGCGACAAAACACCCGCACCCCAAGGTCTGCCTGTGTCACATTCAGTTCGATCGTGGCTCCCCAGCAAACGACCGATTGACTCCCGATATAAGTCAGGCAGCATTCGTTCATCTGCCGACAGTCCTTGCGTTGTCAGCCGCGACAAAACTCCCTTGCCTTTCACTTCCTCCAAACGGACCAACGCCCTCTTCCTGGACGTTTCCTGTGATCCTACCTCTTTGTTTGTGTGTGTGTGTGGCGCGTGTGTGCTGTTTTGCTGTATGCGCGACCCGTTGGTTTCGTTGTCCGTTGTGTGTCACGCATTTTCTTGTGGCGTGCCGTTAGCGCGCTGCTTGCCGGGCTTGCCGCGGGTATCTTCCCCGTGCCGGTTATCTTCCCGTGCCGGTACGGAAGGGGTCTGGCATGTTTCTGACATGTTCCTCCGCGGTCGGTCCGCAGCCGGCAGCCATGGATACGAAAGACGCCATGGATACGGTGTTGGGAGGTTCTGAGGCGTTCCGAGGCTTTTCGATGTTCTGCCGTGCGGTGACGTGGAGGTCGATTTCCGCTCGATTTCCGCTGTCCGTAAGTGGACACAAGTGGGTACAATTTGGACAAAAGTGGGGAAAAAAATAGACGTACGTGGGCACATAAAAAAATGTAGACGCCGCTGGGTATATTCGCCACGATGTCGGACAGAAGTGGGCACTCTGGTGAGGCCTTGCGCGTCGCGGCAGTATTGGGGCTAATGGTGTGCCTAAGAGTGGGAAAAAAATTATGCCGGTGTTGTGTATGGTCCCTGGCTATGTTGCCCAGGTGTCAGAATGGGGTTTTGAGGCGTTTGGGGGTCGCCTTTGGACTTCGCGCGAGCTGGATATTAGTACTTTTGTCCGAGAATGGCGTGGGTATACCCGCTTTGGTCCATTTCCCTACACATAAAATATGGATATGTGCACCACAGTTTTAGTGGTCAATCCCACCATGATTCCGGTGGGTACCAGCCTCTTTAACCGACGTTACCGCGAGCCACCGGCAAATATTATTATTCAGAGTGTGGAACACCTTGAACATCCTGTCCGTATCATCCGATTTCACCGGTATTATACAAGGCAACCTACATTCTAACGAGACCACTAATGTATTTGAACTCACAGCATTTACGATTTTTTTTTTTTCTGCGTCGGGTTTTCCAATCATTGAGCAGGCGTGGGCCGCCCGGATTGGTGGCTTCACACATACACACGCAAACGTGCGCTACATCTTAACCTTTTTTTGTTGACTTTCGCTTCGGGTTTCCAATCATTGAGCAGGCGTGGGCCGCCCGGATGGGTGGCTTCACATATACACATGCAAACGTGCACCACACTTTTTTTTTTTGTGTTAGAGGATCGGACTCAAGTTTCAAGTCCGATCGTGTCCGATACTCTTAACTTAAAGTAAAATCTACACATACACACGTTAGATGATCGGACTTGATTTTTTCTTGTTAAATTTCGCTTCGGGTTTCCAGTCTTTGAGCAGGCGTATCGTGGTGGTTCACACACACATATATATGGGCACTACATCTGAATTTGATTGTTGAGTTTCGCTTCGGGTTTTCCAGTCTTTGCGCAGGCGTATCGTGGTGGTTCACACATACATACTATGTGTGCACTACATTTGACTTTTTTTGTTGACTTTCGCTTCGGGTTTCCAGTCTTTGAGCAGGCGTATCGTGGACCGTCCGGAGAGGTGGTTCGCCTGGATTGTCTTCGGCTGCCCGGGGTTTTTGTCCCTCTGCATGGCCGTCTCCCGATATCTCGTCGCCCGCTCTCTAGGGAGCCGGCCTGGGTAAGTGTGATGGGTGGCAGGGGGAGGGGTGGGTGTACTCATAGTCGTGCATGCCGTAGTCGTTAGAATATTGACCTCGCACCCCTACAAAGCTGGGACGGAGCACGCCGGGTTCTCACCAGACCAGGCTCTGGGCGAAGGGGTGTTTCTTATTGGCATCGATCGCGCTAAACCGTGTGTGTGTTTCATGTGTCTTTTATCTTTTTGCATCGACCGCGCTATCCGGTTGACCAATGAAAAGACGTCAGTCCCGGTGGGGTTGAAAACACACTACTTCTAAATGTCATGAACTGGGACCCCGTGAGGGGGCAGCATGGGGGAGGCTAAGCTAATCTCCGGATTAAAGGCAGAAACGATAGAAACGAGGAAACCTTGTGTGTGCGTGTGTTTAGTGCTAGCATGGACTCCGGCAACAGGCTGACCAATTAATTTACGTCAGTCTCAGTGCCGCCAAAAAACGGAAATTTGACTTCTGGAGGCCATGGTCTGCGACCCTTTATGAGTATTTGTGGTTCACTCCTTGTGGTTGGTTGTAACAACTGGCCGAAGTCATGCGAAAACATGAGTACCCCCCCCCCCCCCGAAGCTCTTGGCAGAAGGTCCACGGCTTCCCTGGCTCGATAATCGAACTCCT